CAGCTTCCGAGTCATGTGGCCAGCATGACTGAGCCGCTTCTGGCGAACCAGAGCAGCGCACGGAAACGCCGTTTACCTTCCCACCGGAGCGGTACCTATTTATCTACTTGCACTTTGACATGCTTTCAAACTGCTAGGTTGGCAGGAGCAGGGACCGAGCAACGGGAGCTCACCCCGTCACGGGGATTCAAACCGCCGACCTTCTGATCGGCAAGTCCTAGGCTCCGTGGTTTAACCCACAGCGCCACTGTGTAAAGTTTTCAGGATGGTTAGGAAAACAAATCTAAATAGGGCAATATCCAGCCACAGTGAAGCATACCAAATTACTGTTTATTTCTTCATTTCAGTGGAAAGGCTCAACTCTTCTACATGGAAATAGATGAGTCCTAAAAATGCTTAACTCTGGTTTGGATTGAGCTTCTAACCTTTAAAATCTAGGGGATGCATAAGGATTTCTGCCCTCTGGTCTGCTACTCCTTGTTCATGCAAAGACTGTTAAAAACTGCCTTTGGGGTATGTGAGTGCATCTGTTTGTGTGGGGCAGGAACACGTGGCGTGAATCTAAACAGAGACAAACTGATAAAATGTTTGCCATGCTTCCAAACTGGACGTTTCCCAAACAATTATTCCCTCAGAGGATGTTAAGGGCAAAAGTTTGCCCTGTTTCCAAATGGAACAGATGTGCCAACAGATTTTGGCACTTTTCCTAGATACCTTCCCTTGAGACTTGGGTTCCCCAGAAGAGGATTTGCACAGCTACCAACTGAATAAAGATTATTAATTATATGCAGCTTAATCCAAGGCACAATAGCTTCTATACCCACATTTCCTTGTTCTAAGTAAAATGCTGTAATTAGAAATAATTTTCACTTTTAACATTCACTACAAAGCACTCAATACAGAAAACACTACAAAGAAGCAATATACTCCTATCTTTATTATATTATTGGAACTTGAATTGGCTGATTTCTAGTCATCGCTCAATAAAGTTAAGGATGAATCAACCCCCAAACATTTGCACTCATTTACTGATGTTTGAAGGTTACATAAAGGCATGCAGAGTGACAAATGAATGCTTGACTTGACATAGGAGCCAACTCCAGGGGCCGTGGGTACCTGGGCACCCACCATAATATAATTCTAGAAGCTGGGCACCCACAAAGTCAATGAGAAAAGCCAGCACCCACAAAGTCAATGAGAAGCAGTTCAGCTCCATCCTCCGCAGCCAGTGAGCGAGGCACCCTTTTCCAAGAGTGGGGGGTTGCCTCAGACATGGAGGCAGAATCTCTCCGAGTCCAAGCCCCTTCCCACGGAGAAGGAGGAAGAGGAGCCACTGCCGCAATGCAGACATGTGATGCCACACGTAGCTTGCGCGTAGTGCATGTGACATCCACATTGCGGTGGGCGCCCACAATCCTGAGGGCAAGTTGGCACCCCTACGCCATATCAAGATATGTAAACCATGTAAAATCAGGGAAAGGTTGACCTCAGCCTCATATAGCCTCCCTTTTCCAGTATTCCTGCTCCTATTTGCTGTAGAACAGGCTTCCTCAACCTCGGCCCTCCAGATGTTTTGAGACTACAGTTCCCATCATCCCTGACCACTGGACCTGCTATCTAGGAATCATGGGAATTGTAGGCCAAAAACATCTGGAGGGCTGGGTTGAGGAAGCCTGGTTTAGAACAACAGAATGCCACTTAGATCCAGATGAGCGAGTACCATGTTTTTGGAACTGGCAAAGTGGGTTCAAATCATAACTGTCAATGTTTCCCTTTTTTAAAGGGAAATTCCCTTATTCCGAATAGGATTCCTTGCAAGAAAAGGGAAAAGTTGACAGCTATGGTTCAAATCCAGTATCAGCCCATGTTCTTACATGATGGGCAAGCTTGGGCAAACCAATTTTACTTATACAACTTATACAATATAATATATGTAATATCTAGACCAGTGTTTCCCAACCTTTTTTGGGCAAAGGCACACTTGTTTCATGAAAAAAATCTCGAGGCACACCACCATTACAGCCCCGTGACATCAGCGCGCAGCGTCACGCCAGGAGGGACGCACGAAAGTGTAAGTTTCAATTTTTTCCCCTCCCCCTTGCCTTCCTTCTGTGCCAACCGCCAAAAAGCCAAGAAAAAAGCCAAGACTTTAGGGCAGCAGGTCGACACGGAAGAAGCTCCTACCTAAGGACAGGTGCGACGGCCGTGTCCTCTTCTGCCACACTTGGCAGCCCTGCCTCACGGTCGTGACTCCCACCCTGATTTCTCCCCGCAGGTCGAGCGGCACAGGCAGCCCAATGTGTCCAGCCCAGACACAAGCCCCGCTTCCCCACTCTAGATCCTGAATGCGACCAAGTGCTCTGGACTCCCGAGCAGGGTGGGAAAGAGGACTCGCATCTGGTAGCCTCCGGGCTCCTCGCCTGCTCGAGGGATGGCATTGCAGGCAAGCTGCCGGCCGTCGCCATCGCCGCCCCCTCATGCGAGTGGACCTGCCCGGAGTGGTGGGCCGGGGGAGGCTCGCTCTCTGTGGGGATGTGGCCCGCACGCGCGGCCCCGCTTCCTCCTGCCCAGGGCTGAGCTCCTTACCCGCGATCTCGGTCTCGCGCACGCGGATCCCACTTATTCTGAAGCTCGCGCCACTAGCTGGGGCTCTCACACCGTGCCAGGGCGAGGCGGCGCGGCCCACTGATGTCATCGCGGCTCGCCGCCGCCCTCGACTTCCCTGTTCCCTCCCCTCCCTCGGGTCGCCGTGGTTACCGAGGACTGCAAGCTGCTCGGGCGAGCGTGGGGCATTAAGTGGGAGAAGGAAAATTAAAATTAAAACTCGCCTGAAGGCCGCCTCTCCGGATATCTTTCGAATTTTTTAATTTTTCCCGCGGCACACCAGGCAACGTCTCGCGGCACACTAGTGTGCCGCGGAACACCGGTTGGGAAACACTGATCTAGACAATATGAATCTATTCTCTGACTCACAAGTAGGCTTAGGATGTTTGCTTAAATCTTTAAGTTGTTCACCTAAGGGTGATTGTTTTTATTGACTAATGGTAGAAATAATATTTAAACTAAGAACAATCATTCCACTAGTAATATCCCAAGCTCTTTAGTGTGAAGAGAAAGCAGGGTTCCGAAAACTAAAACAGCTGCCTTTGTATTTTGGGATTAAAATTATGCAAGGAATTGATAAACTTGGGAGGATTTGCTTGATGCAACCAGTTCAAAAATAGTCTCATTGTTTAAAATCCTGTGGCGGAAGCAAATCTATAAGTTACTTCTCAACACTAAAGTTTATCTCGGTTTAAACTGTCAGCAAAAAACGTTTCTAAAGTACTTCTTTCTCTGAGAGCTGAAGACATAGCAATACAGGGAGACTTATGAAAAACTACTTTACAAAAAAATATTTGAAACACAATTTACTTAGCAACATTACTTGGCTGAACTGATAGATCCTGAAATCAGGAAAAATGTTTTGTTTTACTATGGAATATACAGTTATGGAAGGAAGAATATTAGGCATTTTGTGGGATCCTACAGTGTTCAGACAACATATGGTGGCCATGCTAGGGAATTAGGTCCCCTTTGAAATAAGGTAAGGGACAATGACAATAGCAGCTGCTGTCACTGGGCAGAGCTGTGGAGCCCATCTGCTACAGCTTACCTGAACTGGGCTGAGGCAGAGCAGGGTGGCAATGAGGTCGGGGCAGTGCAGATGAACCAGCAGAGCTAATCCAGCTCTCCTGTTGGTGTGTCTGCACAGTTTACCTGGAGGGTACTAGGCTGGGTCTATGCACAGCTGGAAGAGTCAGACTGTTTCTACCAGTATGCCCATGCAACCCCAAGCTTACTGCCACCCTGCTCTGGCCTGCCCCAGTGCTGTTCAGGTAAGTTGTGGCGGCGCCTATGTTGGGAAGGTGGGCTTGTGGGTTTCTTGCCACATCAGCTGCTACTGGGCAACAGTAACGTCATTTTGGCACTTGTGAAAACTCACTGTGCGATACAGCAGCAAAAAAGTGAATGCTATTCCATGCTGCATCAACAGAAGTATGGTGTCCAGATCAAGGGAAATAATAGTGCCCATCTATTGTGCCTTAGTCAGACCACACTTGGAATACTGTGCTCAATTCTGGGCACCACAATTTAAGAAGGATGTTGACAAGCTGGAACGTGTGCAGAGGAGGGCAACCAAGATGATCAAGGGTCTGGAAAGCCTTATGAGGAACAGTTGAAGGAGCTGGGTATGTTTAGCCTGGAGAATAAGAGATACGATAGCCATCTTCATATCTCAAGGGCTGTCACATGGAATATGGAGCAAGCTTGTTTTCTGCTGCTCCAGAGGCTAGGACCTGAACCAATGGATTCAAGTGACAAGGAAGGAGATTCCGACTCAACACCAGGAAGAACTTTCTGACAGTAAGAACTATTCTACAGTGAAATAGACTCCCTTGGTCAGTGGTGGACTCTCCTTCCTTGGGGGTTTTTAATCAGAGGTTGGATGGCCATCTGCCATGGATGCTTTAGCTGAGATTCCTGCATTGCAGAGGGTTGGACTAGATGATCCTTGGGGTACCTTCCAACTACAATTCTATTATTCCAATTTCTTAGCAAATAACCAGACTTCCTTGATGGAAGTCATGGATGTATGTGCATTCCAAGCTACTAAACTAGATTTCTGAAAGGAAATATATGAAAACAATTTAAGTATGGAGAAAACTAGTAAATTCCCTTTCAACACTGATTCCAATAAGCATTGGGATTAACTCTCATTCAAGTATTCCCCATTTTATTTTGAAGCAGCACCATGTTCCACCTTCCTTGCAGTTCCATGTCTAATTAAGAATAAAATAAACACCTCCTATCAGGTTTCAAAAGTACCAGAGCTTCATTGCCAGCATTGCCCAATTACCATTCACATACATAGATCAAGTTAATGAAGCAGTGCTTATTATAATACATAGGATGTCACTCAAAATGAGCTTGTACTTTGAAGAAAGAAGGGGTCTTACCAAGAAACCATCCGTGTACGGGAAATGTGCTCTGGAAGGGTCTTCGGCTGTTGGGCTCAGCGGTTTGGGGTCAGACAAAGAGCGCTGCATCACCTTGGCGGACTTGGGGCTCAGCTGCGGAATCTTGGGGACCTCGGAGTGCAGAATCTTCTGAGGACTAAGGTCTTCAGGGACAGGCTTCTCATAGGGTACAAAGGCCGACTCTATAACTGCAGCCGGAGATACAGGCGAAATGGGAGAATAAAGTACTTTGGGAGATTTGGGAGGGGAAGGGGCTACCTGAAGTGTGGGTTCTGGCCGGAGGTGTGAAGAGTAACCTATTTCTAGTGGTGTTGGGCGCTTTTTATCTTTCTGAGGGGAGGTAGCTGTGAGGTATTGGGGGCTTTGGGTGTCTGAATCCGTTTCTGTCTGACACCCCAAACTTCCTCCTTTGTATGTCTTTTCTGGAGCTGAAATGTGTTTTACGATTTCTATCTTTGCATCTAGATGGGCCCTTGCTGAAGGGGTCCGTATTGTCCCTACTGGCTCTGTTTGTACGGATATCTCTGCCACCGTTTGCACTGCAATACTGGCGACTTGGGGAAACGGCTTAGGCTTGTCTGCCTCAGTGGTACCTTCGTATTTCCCCACACGGGCTTTCCTTCTTGACCTGTTGGTCAGATCCCATTCATCTTGGTCCTCATCGTCTGTCTGAACACTTGTATCCACACTCTTTTTTGTTCTCCTCCTTCTGTCTGCATAGCCCATGTCCGCACCATCCTCATCGTCAGTTTGAACTCCGCTCTCCACTATCTTTTTAAGACACCTAGGCTCTTCTTCCAGAGCTCCGTCAAGTTCCTCGTATGGGCCACGCAGCTTTGGCATGGAGCTCCTCTTTTTCAACTGCTTTTCCTCTCTCACATCCACGTCTTTAAGAGACATCTCTGAGACAGAGCTTAGCAGGCCAGGCCTGGGAACGTACTGAGTTACACCATCTGACTGAACTGTGTACCAGGCTTGGCTTTGTGGAATTTCGATTCCCAGCACAGCAGAAGCAGTGGTAGTGGCTTCATCACCAGCCCAAAACTGCCCGTTGGGGGCAGCAGCGTACTGGCCTTCAAGGATGACTTGGTCTGTGGTCGTCTGTGGAGACACAGTTCCAGAAGGTTCGTAATTGTACTGATAGATCTGGTGGATCTTCTGCTCTTCCAAGTGCTGGTGGAGCTGCTGCTGCAGGTGCTGGATTTGTTCAATGTGCAGTTGCTGCTGCGCTAACGTTTCCTGCCTCATCATGAACTGTGCCTGCCTCTCTTCTTCTTGCTGATATAAGAGGTGGTGCTTCATAGAATGCAACTCCTCAAGCTTCTTCTGAACCATGAATTGCTCTTGCTCTCTGAACCGCTGAATTTCTTGACGCTCCCACTCAAGCTCCTCTGCAAAACGCTGCTGATGTAGTTTTTCGAGCTCTAGAAGCTCGCGCTCCAAGTCAAGGTGCTGCTGTTTGCCTTCTTCGGGGGCAATGAGGTGTGTAGCTTCATCCTCAATTATATCTACAAAAGCTTCTGAAGCTGTAGTGAAAACAGGCATCAAGTTGGTTGGCTCACTAGTAATGGCTTCCATGGGAAGAGGTTGCAACCCTGGGTCAATGTCGATGTCAGTAATTGCACCCTCTTTCTCAGAGGCTACAGTTGTCAAGAAATCATATGATCTTGGAAGTGCCTGGCTATGTTGTAAGTTTGATAATGAGGGCATTGTGTCAACTGTCTGAAGAGCAGATAGGTCTCTAACGGAAGTACTGAAAATAGAACCAGGTTGTGTGGTGATAGCAAATGTGGATGGCACTGGAGTCGCAACGGATGAATAAACAACTCCATTAGATGATCTCAAAACACTTCCAGTGCCATAAGGGGATCCTATGGATGGTACTATTCGTGCTTGGGAATACTGAGGTGCACTGATCCCAATGCCAGAAATTACTTGCCGAGTCTCTGGGTAAGGACCCGTAATCTTGCTTGAGTAATCCATAACTTCACCTGAAATTACAGGGCAGAGTTATAGTCCAGTCTTTCAAAACAAAGCCCTTTTTTGCGAGTTCTGCAAGCCATCCCATCAAGATGAGTTAAATGAGCGGAAGAGCAGGGGGCAGCTGCATGCAAATCTTCACTTTAATGCTCTACATTAGCTGTGCAGGAGGGAAGGGGGGGGGAAGCATTTCCTGAACATGCAGGCACATGCAGGTACCTCTTTGTGCAAAACGATTTATATAACGAAGAAACAAAAAATAAAAATAAAAATGCATGTATAAATCCCAGCAGTTTGCCACAATGTCCAACATAAATTTTAATAAAAAGGGGAAGAAAAAATAGAAAATAAAAATAATTCATCCTGAAATGAGATGAGCAACACCATTACCATATTTCAAAGTAAGATCTGAGGCCTTGTCATACTGACCTGTTGTTACTCTGCCAGAAGTTAAGTCTACTGCTACATCTGTTGCCCCAACTTGGTAATCAAAGGTATTCTTGCTTTTGTACATAAAAAGTCCAGCCTCTGATAAATTGGTATCTGACATAGAAGGTTTCATACCTCCTATTCCTTTATAACCATAGGGCCCTGAGCGGTCATACTGATAGTGATCATCTCTATAACCAAAACGATCTTCAGGTAGTGTTGTGGCGGGTGCTTGAGCTGTACAGCTCCTGCCAAATGGTAGCTTGTAAATAACATCACAACAAACAGCCCTTCTCCCTGCAGTCAAGTCCACAGGTTTTTCATCATCTTCTATTACAGTGGTAACAATTCCCGAAGTTGTTTCATCCACTGTCACCATGGTTCTGTGGGATTTCGTGGTGCTGAGATCAACTACTTCACTCTCGACTGGTTCATGAGTAGTGGAAACGTCCGTCCAACCATTGGTTACACCCACAGGAGGTACCATAGCAGGCTTTGTAGTGCCCCATGTGGCTGGGGTACCTAGGGACAAATTTATTGGCACCTCATCTCTGTCTGCAGAGAGTCCCTGGACGCCTGTTACTCTAGGTCCAGGCTCAAAATGTTTTGCTGTTGTTAGCTGAAGTGGAGTTGTCATTGCATGCCCCAGATCTACAAGACTTTCTGTACTTGTACTATAGCTTACAGTAGCTGTGCAGGTCACTATTGTAAATGTTTCAGTGACTGGTGCTAAAGAGATACCAGCTGTCGATGCAGCGCTGAGATTTATGATAGCTGGCTGAACAGTGCTTACTGGACGACCCAAAGTGTCACTGGCCATAATCTGCCTTCTCACATCCGTGGGAGCAGAAGATAGGTCCATGCAGCTACCTGCCCTTTCCACATCCATTTTAGTCAAGGTGCGAAGATCAATGACATCACCAAAGACATGGAATCTCCCGTTCTCTCTATATCTGGGTGGTTCAATGATATGTGCCGGCTCTGGGGGTATGGTTATGGAAACACTATCTAATCCAGCATTTTTGAGCAAAGACACTGTAGTCCTGGCAACCTCTGTTGATATTAAGTCTGTTGCTGAACTAGGAGCTATCTCAAAAACTGACCGTGCACTGACAGGAACAGGGGAAACAGATTGCAAAGCTCCTGGACCATATTTGCTTCGATCACTTATGCTTTGCATTTGCAGAGCAGTCATAGTTGGAGTGAATAGTGATTGTACAATCTGTGGACCCTGTTCTTTAGGGGGAGATCCTGGAGGCCAACTGGTAATTGCCTGACTGGTAATAGACTCTGTGGGAGTGCCAGGCTCAGAGGGCAACGTGATAACAACATAGGTTTCCCCTGAGGATTTGGACAATCTTGGGGAAGATTTATTAGAATGTGGAGACAGTGGGGAAGTAGGGGATGGCAACTTATAGTCTGCAGGGGAAGCCAAGTTCAAAGTCATACTGCTGGTGAAAGACAAACCCACTGGTTTTGGCTGTGTTTCTGCTGGTTTGTGAACAGTGGTCGGTAGCTGAGGAACTGTTGGTTTGGGAGCAATAGGGGGTTTTATTATTTCGGCAGGTCTGTGAGTGAACACAAGTCCTGCTGGAATTGAAGCTGGCTTGGGAGGAACAGGAGGGGGTGTCGATGTGTACATTTTAGTGACGGGTGGTCCAGTCATATTTATAGCAGATGTTGTTTCCGCTGTTTTGACGTCACTGGCAGATGGTACTAGGATGGGAGTTGTGGTCACTGGAGCCTTAGCCAGGGGTTTCTTTTTAGGATAAATAGCTGGTTTGGGCAGAATAGGTGGAGGAGGTGGGGGTGGAGGTGGAGGAGGTGGGGGCGGAGGTGGTGGGGGTGGCTGAGCTGGAGACTCAAAAGAAGAGCTTTTGTAAAATGAAAATGTTTGGGGTGTAACAGGGGGAACTGAAGAAATGGCAGATGGCAACACAGATACAGTAGGCATGACAGAGGAGGATACTGGAGTTGTACATGTAAATTTCTGGTCAGATGTAGCATCTGTTAAAGCTTTTCCTTTTATGGTCACAGGAGGTCTTGCCTGTTTGTCTTCATAAAGTCCCTTCATAACATCAAACTTGGCTGCATCTTTTATAGCTTTCTCATCTTGTGGTAGGAACGTTTCTATGGCATCAGAGACAGAAACTAAGGGCTTGGGCTTTGTTTCTACAGAGGCTGATACAAAGGATTCAGTTTCAGAAAGGGAAACCATAACCTGATCTGCAAGGGTCTCCTTAGCAGCTTCAGAGTACTCTTTTGTGGAACTTATAGGAACTTGGGTCACTGAGCTGGTCCCTTCGGAATCTGGAAACTTGCTAATAGCATCCACTGTTTCTATGTAACCTGAAATCACGCCATCTGGTGAAGAACTACCAGTGGTGTAAACTGAAGAGGTGGATGACGTTAGGGAAGACGTATCCGATGGTATAATGGACGTGGCACTTTCTGAGGCCTCTGAGTACATCAATATGGATGTTTCGTGGGAAATTATTTCTTCGATCTCTCGGGTGTAATCTGTGAGATATTCATCCTCTATTTCTTCAGTTGTGAAGTGCTGAGTAATTTTGACATCCGGAATAGGAAGCACCGAAGAGCTTACTGAAAGTATGTCTGAACTGGATGAAATAGTGCTTGACGTCAGGGAGGTGCTTTCTGTTACCTCTCCGGATATGCTTGTTTTTGTATCTGAAACCGTAATTAATTCAGGAGATGGCTGGGTAGGACTTGAGCCTGGAGTCAACTGCATTTGTTGTCGCCTGATAAGTTCCTCATAAGCAGCATCTGCATCCAAGAGCTGTTTTTCGTCACTTGAAGATGACGCCACACTGTCCAGTACGATTATCTCATGACTTTCTGGCATGATGTAAGAGCTAGACACAATGTCTTCTTGAGGCATACCTGAATGCAAAGACTCTATCCTGTAATAGTCCTTTTGTAAGCTGGTAGGCTTTTGCATAGGTTCTCCATATATCTGATCTGGGGGCGCTGATGTTTTTTCTTTCAGTTGGCTAAATTCATCACCCTCTTCTTGCCTTGTCATGAGGCCAGCCTCCATAGCCCCACTATAAGCATCTTCTACTAAAGATTCATATATATAGTCCTCTATTAGCATGCCACCATATAAAGGCTCTTTCTCAAACACTTCGTCTTTTTCATTTACATCTGGAAGTGGCTTGGCTTTGTGGGATGTATGCAGGATTTCTTCATATACCTCTTCAGCACTTCTTAAAGGCTTTTGACCGCTCTCTTCTTTGACAAACCCAACAGGCTGCTCTTCCGTTGGAGAATATAAAGAGACAGCTGTAGGTAATTTGTAAACCTTCTGCACTTCTATTATTTTTTCTGGGCTGATTTCAAAAGCTTCAGGATCTGACTCAATACTTGGGGAATATTCAGAACAGGAAGACCGATGTAGTTCCTCCATTTCTGCTGCCTGACGCAATTCTTCTGTCGGAGAAGCATCCTCAATCGGAGATAGGTTACTTGGTGGTGTCTTCGGCCGTTCTCTTCTTCTCTGGGCTCTGAGCTCATCCTTGTCTTTCTTAGATTTTTTGCTAGAGCTCTTCCTTTGTTGCTGCTGTTGCTGTTGCTGCTGCTGCTCTAATTCACGTTGCTTCTCCTGCTCTTTTAGCAACTCTTCCTCCTCCCGAAGCTCCTCTTCTTCGGAAGAATCTTCAATGGTTGGAAGAAGAGGACCATGCGTACGATGCCTGGCTTTACGATGCTGCTTACTTTCTCCACCCATTTTTTTGTGGCTGGGACTGCTGTCACTATCTTCATCAAGGGATGACACAGATGTAGGAGATGTACCTGGAGTGAAACTGGAGGCATGCAGACTTGAAGATCCTTCTCCCCTTGACCTATCCTCTGGTGAATCTGTAAGACTCTCCATCTCTAACTCTGGTTCTTCATCAAAATACAGACTTCTCTTTGGTTGTTCAGATTCCTCAGAATATTTATTTGCTATTGTGCTATTAAGTTCTATTGTTTTGAAACGCCGAAGACCTCCTCCCGTTACAGTGATTTCTTCACTTTCTTGACTTTTTGTTTCCCTGTATTTTGGTTCTGGACTTTCATCAAAGGTCTCATCATCGTCATCATGCCAGGAATGGCGTCTGCTGGCATCCTCTTCATAGCCTGTGCTACTTTTGCGCGTCATCCTCTTATGTTTTCCAGCGATTGCTTTTTTGCTTTTCACTTCTTCCTTCTTTTGACTCTCACTTGTACAGATTTCTTTCAGCTGGTTTCTTATGAATTCATCATCTTCAGAACCTGACGCATCTTCATCAGCACTCATCTCCATGATCTGTTTTCGAATGAAGTCTTCATCGTCACCTGACCCTGGACTGTCTTCTGGTTTGTATTCATCACTGCTGGAAGACCCAACGCTGGTCCGTCTTTTTCTCCGTGGGACAGGTGAATTCTCACTCTCGCTGCTATCTTCTACAGAGTCATAGCGCTGCCTTCTTGTTGATGTATCTTCTGTCGCTTCTGTCTTCTGCTTGTACCCCTTCCGAGAAGATGCACCTTGCTTACTTACCTCTGCAGAATCTCTTCCATCTTTTTCTTGAATATTTGGTTTTGCCAAATCCTCATCAGAACTGTAAGATTCCTGTGTGCCAGGTGTGGACTTTGCTCTATGTGGCTCTTTTGCCTGCTGACTATAGACACCATAAAGGTCTTTGGTCTTTCCAGGCTTCTCTTCAATGAGGGAACTTGCTTGAGCTTCCAAAATGGACAACACAGTGCTTTCTAGCTTAGCAAGATCGGAGGGACTGGTTGGGCTGCTTTCATGTGAAAGGCTTTCTTTTATACAAGTTTCTTTCAAAACATCCTTTTCATCACTTGGAATAAGACTGGGAATTTCACCAAGTGAACTTGAGATCCCATCAGATGAGTAACCGGTGTCACTTAGACCTTGTGGACTTTTTTGCTGCTGTGAGCTTGATGTGTCTGATTTGTCATCTTCTTTTTCCTGAAATATATATGAGCGCACACAGATATTAAGATTCAGATTCAACTAATTAAATAATAGCATCACTCATCCAAAAATAATGTTAATATCTATTATGATCATGATAAAAATGGTCAATTAACAGAAACAGTTTAACAGTTAGGTTAAAGTGCTAAACTAGAAGTGGAGAAATATACTAATTCTCTTATCCAACAATTTTAATCACAAAAATGCCACTTGAAATAAGACTTTTTCAATTAAATGTAATTATGCTCTGTTCAATAATTCAACTGAAATTCATTCTGACAAGGTTTTATGTGGTGCAAATAGGGGGAAAATTATTATCAAGAAAATTTGGTGATGAACACAAATTTGGATAGTTTTAAAAGGGGTTTGGACAAATTCATGAAATGATCATCTATTTTCGACAACCTTGGTGGGAGAATGAAAATTAAATATGGAAGATTTGCTTTGATTATAGGCATCTTTTACCCAAAACCTATTTTACTTATTGTACTGTTGTTTTTATAGGCTAGGATTTGGACCCTCGTGATTGCGGGAGGAAACTGATATCCATTGCCCTTGGAGCATTAAAATGATCTCTCTCAGCATCTGGGAGGGCGAGGGGTTTGTTTGTTTTTTAGCTCCTCTTACAACATGGTGGAAAACAGAAATGTATGGATTCTAACTGAAGCTTATTCATAGGTTGTGGTATGTAGCCAAAACCCTATTCACCAAACCCTGAAACCTTTTAGAATACCATGAAGCTCTCCTGTGCTATATCAAAGATCAACCAAATGAATCTACAGCACCTCAATGACCAGTTACAGATAATTTAAAGGAAGTCTTTTATCACACTTGACAGTGTTATTAACATCACAGAGACTCTTCTCTTAATATTTGATAATTTGATAATTTGTAGGAAACAACAGTTTTGAAAGTAAGTATAGGCATGAATGCATGAACCTATTAATGAAGTTGGGCAAGTTTTGTTCATTTCAGTATACACAAACCTACCAAAACCAAATCTGCATGGACCTGCCACCAATTTATGACTTGTTTTAGTCATTCTATGTCAGTAAAAACCGTGATGTGAATTAAAGTTAGTCATTCAAAACAAATTGGGTGCACTTTAGGAAAAGTTAAAGCACTTTAAATTTCTATTTATTTCAGTTGGAGAGTGAGGCATAAATGCTTGACATTTCTCTCACTGAGATAAATGGAAATTAAAATGCTGAAATTTGCATAGGCTGTGATCATTGTTTCTAGGATCTGGCCCCATGTCATTCAACGAAGGAAGAGTTGGGAAGGAAAGTTGAACACTCACTGCTTTCTCCCTCAGTGCTTCCACGTGATCAGGCTTTGGCAAAGGTACTGGCTGAGCAGAGATTTCTTCTTTTCGAGATTTCTGAGCTTTAGATATGGTTTCTGGAATAGTCATCACTGAATCCTCTTTTTTTACCTCCTCCTGTTTTACTGTTTCTTTTCGTACCTTGGCTTCTAGTTTTGCCTCAGAAAACTGCTCTTCTACCGCAGCCATGACTGGTTTATGTTTGGGCTCAGGAAAAGGGGGTGTCTCTTGTGAGGGTAGAGACCTGGTGTCCCCTTCCAGGGTTTCTGCCAATTGTGTTTGATCGTTACTTGACTTGGAAGAAGCTGGATCCCTCTGAAGTGTTCCTATCATCTGCTGAAGTTCCACACCATCCCTTTGAATCTGCTCAGCAGAGGCTGTCTTCACCATCTCCCCCTGAGATAAAGCTCTGTTTTCCTGCTGAATTTGATCAGCGGATGGAACTTTGGCCAGTTTTGCTTGCTGGAATTTTGGATCGGCTCTTTTAATTGTCTCATCTGAGGGTACTTTTGTCAACTTTTCTTGCTCAAGCTTTGCATCTTCCTTTTGGATTTCCTTCCGGATCTGATCAGCAGATGGTGTTTTTGCCAACTTCGCTTGCTGGATCTTTGGGTCCTCCTTCCAAATCTGATCAGCAGATGGTGTTTTTGCCAACTTCGCTTGTTGGATCTTTGGGTCCTCCTTCCGAATCTGATCAGCAGATGGTGTTTTTGTCAATTTCACTTGCTGGATCCTTGGGTCCTCCTTCCGAATCTGATCAGCAGATGGTGTTTTTGTCAATTTCACTTGCTGGATCCTTGGGTCCTCCTTCCGAATCTGATCAGCAGATGGTGTTTTTGTCAATTTCACTTCCTGGATCTTTGGGTCCTCCTTCCGAATCTGATCAGCAGATGGTGTTTTTGTCAATTTCACTTGCTGGATCCTTGGGTCCTCCTTCCGAATCTGATCAGCAGATGGTGTTTTTGTCAATTTCGCTTGCTGGATCTTGGGGTCTTCCTTCTGAATTTGCTCAGATGATACAGTCTTGCCCAATTTTACCTGCTGAAGCTCTGGGGCTTCCTTCTGAATTTTATCAGATATTTTCCCCAGCTCCTTTGGCTCTTCCTTTTGAATGTCTTCTGAGATCTTATCGGCAGATGGCTTTGTGGTTAGTTTTGGCTCTTCTTTGGGAATTTGATCAGCCAATTTTTCCTTCTGAATTTTTGAATCTTCCTTTGAAGTGCTTTGAATAATTTTATCAGTTGATGCCAATTTTTCTTGTTGAACTTTTGAATCTTCCCTTTGTGTACCTTCCTGGATTTTATCAGATGAAATTGCCTTTGCTAATTTGCCCTGTTGAAGTTTTGAATCTTCCTTCTGAATTCCCATTCCTCCTCTTGGCTTTTCCAGCATTTGAGCTGAAGTCTTCTGCTCAACAAGTTTAGCCTGGCTTTGAGGAGCAGTTGATGGCTTGGGTGACGATTTTGAAAGTACAGGAGGTGTTATTTTGTCCATATCCCCAAGCTGTCCTGATAATGCTCTTTGTGTCTGGCAGTTTAAGCACAGCCATTCTTGTACCTATAATATAAAAATAACGTTACATTAATAAAGGATATATGCTGTGTTAAAATATCAATATTAAAGCAATATTAAATATTAAACACCACCCTGACTCTACAAACTTTTGGCTGTGACACTAAATATACAATGGGTTGTATCAAACTAAGTCATACTCTGTGTATACCTATTGAAATCATTGGTTTAAATTAGTCATATTTAACTTAAATTGAACGGATATAATGGGCCTAATCCAAGTATGAGTTAAACTGCAATCCTAACCCCACTTACCTGGGAGTAAGCACCACTGATTTCAACAGAACTTACTTTTGAGTGGACATGGTTAGGATTGTATCAGTTGGATAAAACCAATAAATATTGTAAACCATTGGAGATACTGTCCACAGAACCATGGCTACCATTTTAGTAGCATAAATTAGGAGTGTCCAGAGATTAAAGATACAGATAGGTAGCCATGTTGGTCTGCCATAGTCAAAACAAAAAAAATCCTTCCAGTAGCACCTTAAAGACCAACTAAGTTAGTTCTTGGTATGAGCTTTCGTGTGCATGCACACTTCTTCAGATAAAGATTAAAGAGTTGTAGTTGATTAACTACCTGTATTGAAATGGACTATATAACTGTAAATATATTCACAAAAAGGCAAACTGTTATACAGAGATCTTTTCAAAGATATTGAAAACAGAGTGAAATTTAATAAATTTGATAAAATTATTTATTAAATAAATTTTAATAGGATTTAATAAATTAAAGCACCACTCCTTGTTAGGGCAGGCAAAAATTATTATTTTCATTCTCCTTACTTGGTTCAAAATGGTTTTAAACAAGGGTACCATTCAATCTCTGTCCTGCTGATTAAAATTTGCTCCCACTGATTAATCAACTACCAGTTCAACATACAGGCTTAAGAGAATTCTTTGCTTAACAGACATGACAAAGAATGCATGGCATGTATCATCTGAAAACACCAACGACTGAGCTGTATAAGGAAGTATAGTTCTGAGCAGAAATCTTGTAATAAGCTTTTTTCATTAATTTAATACCTAGAATAAAATCCAACTGCTAACAGATATTCACAAGGCCGAATCTGGCTAAAATAATTAGGGATAAAAGCTCTTTTAAAGAGCACCGGAAAATATAGCTCACTGCATGCTGTGTGTTGTTGTACTGTAGATTTAACTCTTACACACAAAGCACCAAAGCCTGCAATTTCAAAAGAATTTTTTTGTGGTATGTAATATTTTTTAATTTCAATTTTTGGACAAATAATAATAATAATAATAATTTATTATTTGTACCCCGCCCATCTGGCTGGGTTTCCCCAGCCACTCTGGGCGGCTTCCATAGAAACCAAAAACCCCACTAAAATATCATACATTAAAAACTTCCCTGAACAGGGCTGCCTTAAGATGTCTTCTGAATGTCAGGTAGTTGTTTATCGTTTTGACATCTGTTAAAGTTAAAGAGAACAGTAATGATTACTTTCTAAAAGTTTTCAATGTTTTTGGGATACGTTAAGTCAACAGTCTGAGGAATGAACCAGCCAATTTCTACCTTGTTAGATGTGTGACTTATTTCAATGCAAGAATGAGGCACATCTGTTGCTAAAAAGCTAAGAGGATGTTCAAAAGTCAACAGATGTGCATACCTAACTCTCTCCACTGAAATAAGTAGGAAGCTAAAAATGCTTAGCTTTGGCCTGATTATGCCCTGATTTCTGTGGTAAGTCTCTACCATGTTATAGCAGCATCCATCAATGTTGGGAAGCAAGGAAACCTTTCATAGAATCATAGATAGAATCATAGAATTGTAGAGCTGGGAGGAATTCCGGTGGTCATCTGGCGCAGTGCCATGCAACACCGCCCAAAAAAATGGCTCCTCACAGTTTGCAGCCCTGCTAAGCCAAAAATCTGCAGGACATGGAACAACTTAATGCACTCCTCCTAGGTGATTTCCAGTAGGGACAAGAGAAGGGAATTCCACCAGTTCCTATAGAATATGCATGCCATAAACACCACAGTCCTCAGAAAGGAGCAGTGCTCTGAAGGGATACTGAATAATACTGCCTTTTTAATAGAATCAGAAAATCATAGTGTTGGAAGTGGCCACGATGGTCATCTAGTCTAACCCCCCTGCAATGCAGGAAACATGGGACTCAAACCCACAATCCTGAGAGTAAGGCTGGATCTATATATAAAAACCGCTATGGGGGTGGGGTGGGGAAGCTCCCAAGGCAATCTGCCATTGACTTTGGATTCTGCTCTACAGCGCCATCTGTGTCGCATTTTTATAACACATTTTAACGTTATAAATTGACCTGTGTAGCTGAGTCCTAAGAGGCTCATGCTCTACCAATATAGCAAAACTAGAGCTTACATACAATAATTAAGTTGTCTCTTTCTTACTGAAAGCTACTTTTGTGAAGCTACGAAAGGAATGAGAGGAACCGCAAACAGAGTCCCTCTTCAAAGATCGACAGAAAAAGTCCCTCCCCCATTGTTTCCATCTCTTCCTTCCACCTTGCAGACTTGAACAAAGGCATTTCTGTAGCAAAATTTATAATCTACTTGGGGTGAGGTGGGGACATGAAGCAAAGCCCAGCAGTTATAATCCCAATCAGCTCAAAATCCACTTTCCTGAGGCAAAATTCACCTGCCCAATAACATGGCGCCTACTCACAACTGTCTCTAAATGAAATCGTACTAGATTTCTTGCACTTGCCAAAACTGCGATTCCAGAAAGCACCAGCTACAAATATAAATGTGTTCTCCCCACCCTTCCAATCAAATTTGCAAAAGGATCCCAACTTCACCATTGGTGTAAATTGGGGCTGGAAAATAATGTTACCTTTCCCCAGTTAACAGGCTATACAGTGGTACCTCGGGTTACATACGCTTCAGGTTACATACGCTTCAGGTTACAGACCCCGCTAACCCAGAAATAGTGCTTCAGGTTAAGAACTTTGCTCCAGGATGAGAACAGAAGGGAGGCCCCATCAGCTAAAGTGGTGATTCAGGTTAAGAAAAGTTTCAGGTTAAGTACGGACCTCCGGAACGAATTAAGTGCTTAACCCGAGGTACCACTGTATATCCCTACAGATAGGCATTGTTTTGTAGGTTAGTCAAGTATAGATAAGAAGTCCTACCTCTTCAGTAATCCCAATAAGAGGAACTCCATTTTATAGCTCTTATTTTTAAACACAACTTTTAAGTAAAGTGCATATGTAAGGTCTGTGCTTATACAGCTCTGCTTAGAGTCTCTGTTGTACAGTTTTCTACAGCGGGTTTTCCAGTGAAGAAACAAATGTAAAATCCTTCTTTCCCAATGTGCACAGGTTTTTAAAAAGTGCCTTGTCAGTGCATGTTAGGTTTTGAGAACTGCGTGCTCATTTGAAGCCTCTAAAGTAAAAGAAAGATTCTATGAACCTTATTATGTCATCAGCCTCTAGGCTGTTGGTTCCCTGTCAGAATGGTTTTCTGTAAAATTGAATTTTGTACCGTGAAGTCATATGCCTCAGCTTTAGCCTTGTCTTCTCCTCAGTTAACCTCATGCCCTGAATGCAAGCTTCTTCCCGGGGCCATCTTTTCAGTTTGCCTGCAACCCATATTTATTAGGGCCCTAGAAATGGACATTCCGCCCCACCCCTGGTAAACACTAATGTTCTCTGCAATAGTATTGTAAGAAATCCAGTAGCCAATTTGATTATTTCAAATCAATATGCCACATTCAGCCTCTCTCATCTTGGCCTCCCTGTCCTCCCTGATTTCTAGATGTGGGGGAGCAGAAGAAACACTGATGGAAGCAGTAACTTGGAGAGAGAGCGGATGTGACCAACTGGTTTGGCGCTATTTAATTTTGGTATGATCTCCTTATATATTGCAGGTTTTTTGGGTGGAGTTGCTCTATTTCACACTACTTGTCCTTGGTAAATCTCTGCTCCTCTTGCTAAAACTGCTATTCTTCCAAATTTCACAACCACATCTCTGCAAGCCTGATTTGCATTTTCAAAACAATATGAGAACTGAAGCACAGCCATCTTTCAGAATTCTCTGAATTTTCAAATGCAATTCTTTTGCCAAGTGTACAAAACATGAATAAAAATGCAAATATTGGTGAAAGTAACATACAAAAATGCATTATTTTAGGGGAAATATTGTTGCAAAAAATTGTATAATAGGCTAAATTTGCAGTATAATGCTGGTGAATTTTCCTGAGGACTTTTTTTTAACAAAACAAAGAAATCACAAATTGATGTGGAGATATGGAGAACTGAATTTAAGATTTGAATAATGAGAAACCGAGAGAAACCCAACCAACAGATTTGACAGTCTCTATTTGACATGGGTGGCGCTGTGGGTTAAACCACAGAGCCTAGGGCTTGCCGATCGGAAGCTTGGCAGTTCAAATCCCTGTGACGGGGTGAGCTCCCGTTGCTCGGTCCCAGCTCCTGCCAACCTAGCAGTTCAAAAGCACATCAAGGTGCAAGTAGATAAATAGGTACTGCTCCGGCTGGAAGGTAAACGGCGTTTCTGTGCGCTGCTCTCGTTCGCCAGAAGCCGCTTAGTCATGCATCTCTTTCTTAGATCTTTAAAAAGGGCAACAATACCTGAGGCAGAGCTGGCTCTGCCGTTAGGCAGATTGAGGCAGAAGCCCCCAAGATGGCAGCTTGAGGCTGCCTTGACCTGCCCTGCTCTGCCTCCACTGCTGGTGCAGACGTGATGCTGGTATGAGTGCCGATTTCAGCTGAAATGGCATGAGATTTTGTGCAATTTCAGTGAGATCTCCTCTGAAATTGGCACTGATGCCAGTGTCACTTCCCCCCCAGTGGCAGAGGCAGCACGGCGAGCGGAGAAGTGGTGCCAGTGGCAGACCTGACCTGAGATCCTCTATTTCACTTCATTTTGTGGAGTATTCCTGTAATTCCCATCTAAGAAAGCTGAAGGCATAGTTTGAAAACGGTGGATAGCGAAACCTTTCAAAAACATGATGAGGTAGGTAAGTG